CTTGCCTGGAGAGCTTATCTGAAGGGAGAAGAAAGTTCATAAATTTGGTGATGCCAATAAATACTCGATTGTTTGCCATTTTCCCGCCCTCCTGATTTGCCCTGTCGCAATAATTCATTTTCATTGAGAATAAAAGGAAGCCAGCCACCCAACAATATTCCATCAATAGCCAATAAATACATATTTCACCACGCCTGTGCGTGCCTCAGTCTGGAATATGTATACATAAAAGTTCTCAAAGACAGAGATTGTGTATAATTACACTATTTGTCACAGTGTGTCCCTGATTATTTGCAAATCCCATTGAAGGCGTCGATGAGCAAATATGTCTCGTTATCTTATCACAATTTTTTCGTAAAAGTTTCTGGGTGTGAAAACACATGGCTTTTAATTAAAAAGCATCACTGTCGTCTGCATACTGAATATTTCAAAGCAAAAGCCGGAATATTTAATTGTGTCGTCATTAAAAGGCTGTGAACTTTGGCACAGTAAATATTTTCACAAGCACACACCCTTCCAGTCGGAGAACTTTATGAGCTTTTTGCTGTGACAGAGCCGTATTTGTACAGGACCCAGACGATGAATTTTTCACTGTGACTTCATTTAGAAATCCTCGCATGGCTGAAGAATTTCTTGGAAGCATAACGATGTAACTTTTTTTTGTCTGGTAGTGTTTTTGCTAATTAATTGGCAGCCATGACTAAAAATGGGCATAAATTCCGCGATATTTCCCACTGTATCATCCACATTGTCATTTGGAGCTGTTGGAAAAAATCAGCCAAACAAGAGTTAATGATCTCATTTGCTGTCTGAAGGTCGTTTTAGCGCTTTCGTCTGTGCGATTTCGTAATCAAAACGACCAACACCAAAATCCACGGAGCTCATTTGCCATCATCCTCAATGTTTTTAAGTCAATTTTCACAATTTAGCATCACGAAAGCTCTTTCCGCGATCGAACTGTTCCTAATATTTCTTGTCCCATAACTTTAAACGCCACATTTCAAATCACATGAGGCAGTGGAAAAAACTGCGTGATGCCTTTGTAAAATAAATTGTCGCATTATCATTGCTGGGGATGGGAAATGTGCGAAAGAGTAAATGGTGTGTGAAAAAATATGACAAAGAATGGAATTAAAACATGAAATTTTCGCCCAATTTGCCGAAACATGCTCTCAGTTCTCGCTAGGCGATTTTTCTCCATGTAAAATTTCACTCTCTATTAATTTTAAATACACTGTAGCACAATAAATGACAGCCAGAAAAAATATTCGGAGGGTGAGATAAAAAGCTCTGTGCTTTTTTGTCACCATTCACTCTCATTCTGATATTTCTGTGGTGGTTATAAGGAAACAAAAAACTTTCGTTCTTTGCTGAACGTGTCTTCTTCGGTATGACCGTCAGAAAAAAAGAGCTGCAGAATTTTTACTATATACCTTTTAAAATTATGGAATATATTTAAGAAAGGAGTGAGCTTTTCTTGTTGTTTTCCCACACTCATGCGACAAGCGGGAAATTCTTGCATTTTTCATTGAATTTCCAAGTGGAGTTGCAAGGCAAAAAGCATCGCAGAGAAAACTTTAAACATTCCCTCCCCCCTCCTTGGCTTGGGGATGAATTAATGCGAAAGTTTTATAAAATTTCTTCCCTGTCAGAAGGAGAAAGAGAGAGAAAGAAAAAAAAGCGTGTTAATAGCGAAAATATGTATGAAATATGGCTACATGAGCTCACTTGTATCACAAATCTACATACACTGTATATAGATTAATTTAAAAATAGATTGTTATGGTAAACATGGTGAGTTGCGTTGTTTCACAGCAGAAAAAAGCTCTCACTTTTCCCGAGAAGAGAGAGACATTGTGGGAGTCTGAGGGTGTCGTGGGGGCGTTTCTGTAGAGATATTTTAGTTCATTTATTGCACAACAATTTCCCTACGTTCACAATTCAATTACTACTATTTATTTATACCTGCACTTTCATATTGCGGGCGTCTAAGAACTTTGAATCAAAACAACACAGCAATTCAGCCCCCACAATTTGTATATGGAAAAGCAGCAGACAAAGTTGGGAAATGTCGAAATGCTATCTGACTGTGAGAAAAATTGCCGAAGAATTATGATGGTGGTTTGATGGAGTGATTTCTGAGGATGTTCGTGAGCAAATTAGAATTTTCTCCACGTGCGCCCATTCACGTCCTCACGGGTCTTTTTCCACCCTCCCAGTCGGTTGTTTATGGAAACTTCTCCAGGGGTGGCGTGCCAGAAGGTGGCCTCGGGGGGCGAAAGGGGTGAAAAATGGGGGGTGAACAAGTGAGCAACAAAGGCAAATCTCACAACAAGAACGCCCTTTTGTGCGCTCTCAAGCGTTTTGGGGGTGAATTTATGGGGAAAGGGATATGATACAATCTTCATTGGAGGATCCCTGGCTTTTTTATACTCTCCTCACCGCCGAGGTGCCATAAGCTATCCAAACTACCCTATAACACCCAGGCGAAAAAAGCCCTGTGTGTGTGTGTAGGTGCAGAAAAAAGGCTGCAATGGAGTTTCGTACGTGAAAATCGCCCTCCATCGGGAATATTTAGTCTCGCAGAATGCAAACTTATGGGTGAATCATTAATCAAGTTGTGCTCACGGAGCGTGGAAATTGTATGTAAGTTTTCAACCATTTCACACTCGTGACTTTGATCTGGCAAAAAGCTCAGTGGCAAAAGCTCTCTACAGTGTTTTCGTGGCATTTTTATTACTCCGCCAACCATGCTAAGTCAACCACAGACTATAAATTTCACGCTTCTGTCGAAAATGGGGAGCCAAAGTGCATCGAGTGACGCTTTTTCCCACCCATACGAGCTTTTTGCTTATTATTCTGTCGCATTTGGCGAAATCCCTCAGCAAATGCCCTTCTCTGTCGCAATATAGCTTAAGCGCAATTTCACGTCATTTTACCGCGAAAGTCAGGATTTCCATGCCAAATTCTCTACTTAAGAATTTCCAATCGATGAATTCTATTGATTGAGAAATGAAAAAATTCCACAAATTCCTCGCACTTTAGATAGGATTTCACGCGCGGTGTTCTTTTTGTTTATGGGCTTTTTGCCCTGACAAAACATATCGACAGATTCTCCATAATATAAAGCTGTGTTGCCACCAGCAAACGCAAATCAAGCTTTTTGAGAATGTCAAGATACAGAGAGAGAGATGTGAATGAATGAAAAATGAGGAAAATATTCAGGAGTACACGCGCATATCTCATCTTTGAAATTACGCAATGATATTTCACCCACGCTTGTTTGCACAAATTCGAAATGAGGCGATATAGCAGATGCGGGGAGAGGCAAAATCAGCGACTTCTTGACTATAATAAGGTCGCTATTTGTTGATAAACACAGTCGCGAGAGGTTTTTTTATCAGAAAACTGCGTCTTTCCTCGCATTCAAAGCCACAATCGTCATGAGCGTCCCGAGACGCGCGCGGAGAAATTATTCCATGCAATTGCTGTCGACTTCTTGTAGCGAAAACTTTGTCATGTGGAAGTTTTATGAGTTTCCGCTGTAAGCACTCTTGTTCTATCAATAGATGCATCCTCTCCATATATTCCAGATTGCCAAACAATGGCTGGGCGTGTGAGTGTGGCGAAAATAGATCCGCGTATTCAGATTTCATGTTCAAACATTTGTGCAGGGAATTTTTCATGTGAGAGTCTGTGTCGAAAGCTCGACAAAAGCTCTCCCCCGCCCACGAGCTTTCCCTAGGCGCTCTTCACCGTGATGGATTTTGCCGTGAAGGTGGGAGGTAGCGCGTCATATGCCCTGATGCTCTGGAAAGTCCTGAAAAGGCGAGGCATGTACGCAATTGAATGGACAAATAATCGATATGTGCGACTCCCAGAGCGCTCCTCATTATTGTCATTCCGCCCAAGGCTAAAAATACCACCCTGTCTGCTAGCGTCCGATGACACAATGATCGGGCCTCAGTTATTTCATGCGCTGCCCAATCGTGGTGGACTTTGTCAAAGGAAGATTTGGAGCTTTTTGCTAATTAGAAGCCTTTTTTCTCTCGCCATCCTTTACTCTGTGGCATTTGAATTCCTTCACTAGAATAGGTATAAACTCTAATCATATGATATGTTTGTGCAGAATTCCAAAAAATTAATATTATATTAATAAATCTGATATGTTAATACCATATAATGTTACACTGTATGAGCTGCATTTCAGATTAAAACCCAATTCCCAAATACTTCTGAATACGGAATAAAACCGAATAGCAAATAGAATATTTGATGGGAACAATTAAAATCACATAGATGGAATCATTGGGAATAATAGAATATTAATACAAATTTACAATTGCGCAACATTGTGAAAATAGTAGCATTGATAGCACTTTGTGTGTCTCTTTGTGATGTGAAGAGATGGCAAAAGGATGTGCTCAGAAGACTGTTAGTGAAATTGATGAAAAAATAAATGCATTTTCTATTCAGCAACATTACAAAGTTGCTGTGGTATTTTTAGTTTTTCAATAATAGTGAATTAAACTAGCTTTCAGTGCTAAAGACATGAAAGCCAATTTAATTATTTTTGCTTAAAGGCCCTAGTCTGCTCACTTAACCCATCACAGTGTTTGTCAGTGACACACAAATGTTATGCAATTTTATTTATTCAATTTGTCCAGCATCTTAACAATGTTAGCAATAATTTATGGACCGAATTCATCATGTCTAGTTAATTCTGGGGCGATCAGCAAAGTCAAGGAGCGTTTCTCCTCAGATTTGTGTGATTTGCCCCTTCCTTAATTAATGGTAAACTTGGATAAACTCCATTACAATACCAAATGAAAGACAAACTCCTGAGAAGGCAAATCGAGAAGAAAATGGGAAATAGATGAACAGTGGAAATTAGCATGTGATTTGTGTCTCTGACCATCTCCTTCCTCCTTTGCAGATCCTGCCCGTCTCGTGGCGACATCCCAGCGTCTCCAGGCGTCCGGCGGTGCTCAATGAAGCCTCGTGGCGCTGCAGCTGAAGCTCGTCTACGCTCGCCAGCACACTAGGCCCCCGTTAGACGCGAGCTCTCTCTCGTGGGGGCCCTCGTTCTCGGCTCTCGCCGCTCCGTCAGTCGTCTGGCAGCAGCGGCTTCACTCGCGTCGAGCACTCACTGCGCGTCGGACGTGCCAACTCGTGGCTCTTCACAAGTTCAGTTCACGGTGCATAGCTGTTGCGGAGGAGGACCGCGGCCAAGTTGTGTGGTAGTGAGATGTGTCGCAGGAGTTGCTGAGCGGACTCCTGCGGGATTCTGCGTGGCCAGCACTGCCCGTGCGAGGCTCTAAGGCCGAGTGTGTGATTCAATCGTGTGTTTGCGAGGCAGCAATATTATGTAATACAATGAGCGAATTATTCAACTGCTCATTGTGAGGCATTTCGTTGGACTCTCTGGGGGCTGCCGGGGGAGTGTCAAGGAGGGCCGCCCAGGGTCCGACGGGAAGGACATCGCGGCCGCCAAGGACTGCGGAAAAGAGTGCGTCTGGGTATTGTGTAACAACATCTCGAGTGTGTGTCCAGTGATTCAGTGACTCACAGTGTGGGTTCATTCTCAAGTTCTTTGTCTCTCGCGAGTGAGACGGCAAAAAGCAAGTGGCAACCGCCTCGGCGAGGCAAAAACCCATCGACCATCTGCATCGGAATTGGAAGAGGAAGAAGGAGAGGCGAGAAGGCACACAAAAAAAGCGGAGTTTAAATTGCAAACACGTTAACCTCGGTGAGGCAGCTTTTGAAAACACAAACACACAACGTCACACTTTTATCTGAGCGAGTGTCGATTACATAAGTACATGACCAAGTCCGTATCAGAGGTTCTGGGGAAGCAAACAAAGAGAATTGCTGTTGTGTGACTGTGCGCGATCGGCAAAGGATACAGAGATATTTAAGGGTGACTCCGCCACAGAGTGACAATCGTGAGTGATCACCATAAAGCGCCCAAGATCGCGCGCGCAGTGTGTTGTTGTTGAAGATTACGCGGAAAAAAGTGGCGCGCGCGTGAGACAACAAGTCCGACATCAGAAATAAAACGTGATTCACCGTGGCAATTGGAATTTATATAATCGAGCAGTGTCGTATCGCGATCAATTGACCACCCTACACCTACGCGGCCCTACACGTGACCCCACCTGCCTCACGTTGCTCACGCGTGATATGATCGCGGCCGTCCGACATGGCGACACTGATCGATGTGGCCAAGAGTGAATTCGCCAAGTCCAACTTCGGCATCGCCTTTGAGCTCTACGTGCGATGCATGCGTGACACGAGCGGCGACACGCCCCCGCCTGACCTCTACTTCGGCTATGCGGACTGCCTGGCCCATCTGGGCCGTTTGCCTGAAGCCTTCGACGCCTACGCGCATGTGGGCGCCCACTTGACGCCCTGCATCGTGCCGCTGGAGCGTCTGAGGCACGCCACCCTCGCTCTAATCCAGACATGCACGCTCCCCATCGCCAATGCCATCCCGCAGCCCACCCTTGAACCCCTCGCGGACGCACTGCTGTGCCCTGCGTGCGAGGAGGTCCTCAGGACGCCGGTCACACTCGCCTGCGGCCACACGCATTGCCGCTCGTGCACACGCGACCGTCTCGCCTGCCGCGTGTGTGGCCTGAAGATCGACTCGGGCGACCAGGAGAAAGACGTTCTGGTCAGCAGACTGGTGGAGCGGTGGTGGGGCCAGGACATCAAGGCGGAAGCCGTTAACCAGGAGGCGCAGAGATTTCTGGATCAGTGCCTCTATGACGAGGCGCTGCGATGCTGCAATCAGAGTCTGGAGCAAGGTAAGAAAGTCTCCTTGCGATTTGCGCACACATTGCAATGGTGTATGCTGAGTGTGAAATTGGAATGAAAAGTTCATGCCAACACGTCAGCACTTCCATAAAATAGTGTAGGAAAAACTTGACCGAGAGTCAATGGAAAAATTAATTTCTCCGCCCCTTACAAGGGTGGCTGGAAAAGCGAAATTAATTGAGTTGAGAGTGTGGTGGGAGTTCCGCCCGAGGGGGGTGGCGAGATAAAATAATTCCAATGGAAATTGTGCTGCAAGGATAATTTGGTCTGCACAGTGGCCTTGCTTGAGACATTGTCGAGCCCTCGGAGATTGTCATATCGCTCAGAGGATCTCTCATTTGGATACAAATGAGTATGGAATTGAGGGTAGATTCTGTGTGGAAGACGTTGTGGAGCCCTCGGGGTTTTGGGGGTGGCGCAGGGGCGCAAAAAAGAGAGCAACGCTCTCAGACAGGCGGAGTCCATCTGAAATATGAGATAGTTATCGAACTCTTATGCATAAATTATCATGCAAATGAGTGTTGGGGAAAATATTCATAAGAGCCAAACCCTCCGTCACTTCCTCCGGAGGAGTTTCGATCAAACTAAAGGGAGAATGAATCGATTTGACGGTCATGATGGCATACCGAAATGTGTGCCACCGAAATGCAAATTGACAATATTCTTCTCGCGCTGTGCCGATCTTCAAGTTGCATAAGAGCAGCTCTGCAGTGACACAAGAGAGGCTGGCTTTTTTGTCCATCTTTGGCACCATTATACACCATCAGCTTTTCCCATGAATTGTCCATGACCTGCATACGAGAGACATTTGCGCTGACATTTAGTCCATATAATAGTGTATCCATGAAATTTTGGGGTGAAAATCACACAAGTATTTTGATGGATTTTACCAGACTAATTCAAGTGTCGTCAGAACTTTACAGCACAAAGATAGAGAGACTGATAGTGATCCAATTGCACCCTCTCTGTTGGGAGTTGGTGTCTGAAATAGCGTGTTATGCAATGGTATCTCGCACTTCGTCTCCCGGGCTTCAGTCGCATAAACACACAAAACTTGCGAGAGAGACTGCAAGAAATTGCTTCGAGTGCAGAGCCATTACGGCACTTTTTCCACTCGATGGTGTTGGGGATTAAATTAAAATCTTTGACCATTGAGCAATTGTGAACAATATGATCGCGTCGTGATATTTATGGTGGGCTTATGTTGCATTTTTCCCGTGCTGCATATTTGCCAATTTGTTGCGAGCTATGCGCGGCGCGCATTGCAACAGCCGCACGATGTCGAGAGAAGGTCTCTTTTCCATTCATTTTCCTCACCGGCAATTTCCACTTGGCCGGGAAATTGAGGTGCATTGTCGGCAGGGTGAGATAGAATCACACACACAGAGTGAGGGGAAATGGGCGGCAATCGCTAAACAATGGTAATTTTTCACGTCGACACTCCTGCAAGAGAGAGGCAATTTTCCCTGGGTGGAAATGCATGTGATACATCGCCGGTGAGGGTTAAATTTTCTATTAACTCACATAATAAAAAAAACCCGCTTTCAAAGTCATGTAACTGCTTATGCCAGACGTTTTGAGAATGGAGTGCATTAAAGTCGTGTGCAAGAAAATCCCCGGGCGGAGGAAATTCTGCAGAGAATACCATCCCCTCGTGGCGTCCCACTGCGTAGCCATAAATCATGAGCGCGGTTTATTAATTCACCATGAACGGCGTGGCAAAGAGGAGTCCCGGAAAAGTGTAATGGGGGAATGGCCAGAACGATGGAATTTTATACGTGCATCCCACTGGGAGGCCATGGCATAAACGCCATGCCAAGGGTTGATTCGCACATGACGCATCAGTGGAGCTTAAAGCACACTGTCGAGTTTCCCATTTTGCTGATCTTCCGCTTGTCCTCTTTTCCCTGTTGGGGAGATGTTGAAAATTTTATGAAGTGCAATTTATGTCCCTCGACGGTGTTAAATTTAAACCATTCTTGTCTTCCTTGAGATTTTCACCGTGTGGCTGTTCGGCACCTAAACACGAGAGGGGATGCCGTGGCAATTTGGTTTTGCGAAAATTGCATGTTATTCCTGGGTAGAGGATATTTTGCTGCGCTGCTCCCGCGAGAAAAAGCAAGCATTTTTTTCCTCCAAGCTACCAGGAGGGAGTTGACAAGAGACAGAGTGGAAAGCCTTGTCACATTTTATGGGTTGTTAGCTATGTGGGAAAGCACAAGAAAAGTGCTTAAAGGATGAAGAGAGTAAATGACAAAATCTCGTGTCTGTTGAAAAATACAACAGCTCCCAGGACTCTTGTTCTGCGCGCCTCAATGGCCAAATTCGATCCTGTGTCTTTGCCCAGCAGCTAAATCACGGCATACACTTGAATTTTGGGCCCTCAAGAGCACCTCTTCGGATGCTCAACGGTAGACAGGGGGGAATTTCATCAACATTTTTCTCATTTTCTCTTGACAATTTTTCCTCGTGTGTGCTGTATTTTTATTTGAGTGCGAGAAAAGGGAAAGACAGAGAGAGAGAGGAAAAATGTTGTGGATGGAGAGAAGCTCAGCGTAATGGCAAGTCGCAATCCCTTTCTTTATTGTTATGCATGGCAAAAATATGGGTGGAAGCATAAAGGTTCAGAAAATATTAATAAAACTCACGACATTAGGAATGATGCAAAGGAATTGGTAATTTCCTCTTGAGTTCTCTCCTCAAGTGTCTCAACACAGGGTGAATCTGAAAGAAGAGTCGTTGCATATTTTGCGAAATTGGGCGGTGTTTTTTTCCCCTCATATTCTCAGCAATGAAAATGAAATTGCTATATTGACATCTTTAAGAATTTCTGGCAGAAAACAGCTAGTAAAACAAACACTGCTCATCATTATCAAATATTACTCATTTCGCAACAGCCGCGGTGTCTCTCCCTTTCTTTCTCTCTCTCCTCGAAATGAAATTGCATGCGATAGAGCGAGTCTAGACAGATAAATATTCACGCAATATAGACACAAGTTCATGCTCACCTTCTTGCCAGGCGATGTAGAAAATGTATTGTCGACGTGCCCAACGCCGGTCTGTTGGCGGTGTCATTACATAAATGACACAATTATGTTGGATTGAGCTGAAGAGGAGCGCTCGTAATGAGGTTTGTGTGATAGAAGAGCCGCGCTGTCGAAGATTCACAAGCATCGTGTATTTACTTTTTTTCAAACTGATAAGCAAATCCCGCACAGCGTGTTTCTCTCTTTCTCTCGCCCCCCAGAAAATCAATATTTTGATGAACTCATTCGTACTTTGGCGTTACAACCGAAATGAATAATGGCCTGAGTGGTGATGTAATCTGGGTGGAAATTATATAAGTGCGATTGCCGCGACTCGATTGCAATTGCTCTGTCACACATTGACATATTGTTTCGATCGTGTGAGCTTTTCTGCTATAACAGAAGAAAAGAGAAAAGATGAGTCTGCAAAAGCTACTCGTGTCATCGGACTTTGTGTAGACACGGGAGGAGGGGCAAAGAGAAGAGCTTTCACGCGCTGTCACCCTGAGGGAGGGTGAATTTTCCAGACGGTCGTTTTTCACTGCGAAATTTTCATGACACTAAATTGACACTGAATGTTTCATTTCATACATTATTCACATGTAATAAGGTAAATTGGGTCGAATTGCCACTCTTTGCACTCTTTTCAATTCTCATCTGCTTGGGAATTCTGCTCAATTTTAGGCACTTTCAAAGGGATGTTTTTCAACTCAGTCTTATGCCGAATGCTTAAATATATTTTGCTGCTCATGAATTCATTACAAGTCTTGGAGGATTATCTGCATAGGAGTTTTGCCAGATTGTTGCCACTCAAATATTCATGACATTTGCAAATATATTTTTAATGTCGGCAAAGCTTTTTCTCTTCCTTCGACATTGCGTGCGAATTTTTACTCATGCTCACGAATTGGTGCAAATGCGAGCACTTTTTCCATTAACGCGCCCATCTCCCACCAATTGTCTGAGTCATTCATTGATGTAAGGCATTAAGTATATTTTCTTCTTCATTAATTTTGTCGAATAAATTGTAAAATGAGGTCAGAGTGAGAGAAATATTAGCTCAGTGTTATTTCACTTTACTTGGGTTATTTATGTAGTGAAATAATGAAATCTCACCACACATGCAAGGCAAATTAACACACTCTTGGTCTCTCTGGAGAGCCAAATGATGTGGGGACAGTGCAGAAGGCAAAAGAAGTTGGTCAGGAGTTGAGGTAACCGGCATTGCGATCATGCGGATTTCGTCACAGAGTTGTTCTGTCATCTAAAAGCTCGTGTGTGCGCGCAAGAGTGAGAGAAAGAGAGCTTTTTTTCCATGCGGCGCGAATATTAGGAAATCCCTCAATAGCTTCTTTTCACTCCAAGTTCCGCAATAGTGAAAATACATCAACATGGAAATTGTTATAGCTTTCCTCATTCTGCTAGACAGTGTTTTCCATGACTCACAAGAAAACGTGCGAAAATGCGACGATTTTTCACGTATTCGCAGTGCGTTAAACTCCTTTTGTCGAGAATCATCATGCTTATAGTTGGAATTTGCATTTCCCTATTGACTATTGCGGAGAGAAATTAAAGAGGCAATGGAGCAATATTGTATTCAAAAGTAGAACTTTGCCGACGAGAGTGTTACCGATGGAGAGCGAGCAAAAAAGGTTGTTTTTCAATATTGCACAAATCTCCGCGATGTTGATTTTTATACCTGTTTCCCTCCTTTACTTCAGCATGACTGAGAAACTCCCCGATATAGCATTTTAGGTGTGACATAATCCAGTGCCTCTGCAATAGCTCGAAAAATATTTTATGAAATATTTTCTCCACTCCGCGCGCGCCCCGAAAAGAGAAGCCAAGCCTTGTCGCGTCACAAGACTTCTTACATTATAATTGCAATTGTAAAGGAGAGTAATGATTATGCTATGCCTTTGCCTTCTGTTTGTGTATTTGTACAATTTCAAAATCAAACTCCGGCGTGCTCAATTTTCATAAAGCCACTTTTTTGCCTACCTGAACACTGGTGAACACTGCACGGTGTGTTTATGCCATGGGAGATTCGAAGCTCTCTCAGAAAATTGCGCGACGCGGATTTCACAACACCCCTTCTCACATGAGGGGCGACTGAATGTCAAGAAGTTGAGCAAAAGACCTCATTAGGATCTACTTTGCCCACTCTAATGTATATGCAAAATTACGACGGCAGTAAAAACTACTGACGAAAGCGCTTTATAGTCGAAGCTTTTGCTTCATTATAATTCTCACCTACGCGTGAATGAGTTCTGTAGTCGAGAAACACTTGACTTTCGACATTACTCACGTAAGAGTTCATTGCATCCTTTAATAATAACTCCCGAAATTTCGCTCTTTATATGGCAAATTCACATAAACTTTGCTGGTGAGAACTTTGATGTTAGCCAGAGCTTGAGAATCAATTAAGCAGATTATCACGATGTAGAGTGTCATAATCTATTTAGGAGGTCATAGTTTGGATATAATGTATGTTCCATGCAATGGCAGTTGATTTATGCATGGTCCAGTGAATGTTTTGGAATAATCATTGCACAAATTAGAATCTTGGGCTTTTCCCCTCGTACTTTGTCGAAAGTATGAATTGGTCCCACGGTTCGCATACAAATTGGGCCACAATTTGCAGAAACGGCGCATCCGTAGCCTGTCGGATAAATTGGTTCGGCAACACAATCTGCCAATTTCGTAATTAGTTCTGCGGGCACAATATTGGGCGCGAGATCCGTAAATATCGGCCAAAATACTCCATTCCAGGCATTGAGACAGTCTGGAAACAATAACTCAGATAAATCATCATTTCGACGCACTGCAGCCTCGGCAAATTTACATTTTGGCTGGGGCAAAAAGGAGCGGAGGAAAATCCTCGCCCGGACGGAGTTTTTCCGCACGGTGTTCACGGCGGGAAGGAGGGAAAAAGCTCCGGTGCCTCCAGTGGACTTTATCAACTTTGCGCTGTCGCTCTCTCTTATGTAAATCAATTGTGATGTACCTCTATTTATATATTTCACTCGCCTTTGCGTCACACACAAGACTCTGCTGGCCAGTCGCGCTTACATAAAGGTCAACACCCTCTCCCACCAGCAAAACGCGCGCGAGATTGGCCGTTGAGTGTGTTGAGCCAAGTTCATTTGGCCAGAAGAGACGACAGAGTTGCCGGAAGAGCGCCATTATGCTGCTCATAGATTGTTCTTATGAGCTTATCCAATGCAAATTCACCAGCAAATGGTGGCTCTATTGAGAGCTTTTGTGCTCTGTGTGTGCAATGAATTTCTCTGTGATTATCTATAATGTCGCAAAATCTCAACTCTGTCCCACTATTCCCCACTCACTTCCGGAGATCTTTTTGCGGTGTGCAGCATTTGCCTCACGGCTGCACTTCAACTCTTTCACCGTTCAAGGTTGGCGAAAGTATCGGTGGGGGTTTAGCGAGGCGCGATAAAGAGCCAATGAATGTAATGTTGGTTTTTCATTTCTCATTGGCAAAAGTCAACACAAATTATACTGTTTTTCTGCAAGACGCGCGCGCTATAGCTTAACAGATAAGACCGGAAAGCTTCGCGCGGAACAACAAATGGAAGAATGTGTTTTCAATGGTCTTCGCACTCTGATAATTTTCCCCGAGAATGAGAGCCACACAGTCACACGATAAGGTAAATGAACTTTCTGGGGCTTATTGCGCGTCAATTTTTTCCAACATGGCTTCAAAGTCAAGTGGGAATTTTGTGTTTCTGACAAACAACAACCGTGTGGAAAAGTCTTCACGCGAAGCCTCGCAATTGAGGATTAGGCGCGCGCCTGAATGGCGAGTGTGAGTGGGTGGAGATAAAGTGATGCGTGGCTGAAGAGGGCACGTGTCACGTGCAATAGAACCACCTGGAGGAGGTCTTTGATTTTTTAATTAAGCCCGACAGTGATAAATCCGAGTCCAATTCCGCTACGACAACATGTTGACCCACTTTTCGCGTGTCTCGCTTTTCCTGCTCACTTGCCAATTTCACAGTTCGCAACATTATTGCATATTATCGCCTTTTGAGAAACGCTGCTTGCCTTATCACAACGCTGAAGTGACTGGCGGAGGGGGAGAGAGAGAGAGACATCAAAAGCTTCACTTTGAATACTAAACAATCCATTGTTGCGTAACAATTCTGTGATCGTCACAATGGAAATGAATGAAACTTATAGTTGCGATGAGAGGAACTTCTGTACAGCAAATATTGTGATAAGATTATCCCGAATGTTCTCAAACACTATATTTGGACGGGATGAAAAGAATTGGGCATAAATAGTCAAGTGAAGGAGAACAAAGAAGCGCGATTCGCGTATTGCATGAATTCGTGATTGCGGTGGGAGAGCAAAAAAGCAGTCAATCTTGCACAATTTTATCTCTCTTAAATAATTGTGGTGGAAAATATCTTATGGGCTAAATATTGGCACACGAGAGATGAATAATCGTGTTATAAAATCATTCTTCAACCGAGAAATGCGCTCGCGAGTGAATTGAAAGAAGTCTGCAGCTGTTTTCACTCTCATATTATTCCGGTCACCCACGCCAGATTCGAACTCTCAGCCCGAGCTTTGCAGTCACACGCGATTGCACGGCTAATGGCGAGAGATTATGGGGACAATTATCGCATTTCTTCCACTAGATTTTCACCCCACATTTCGCCTTATACAATCCCCAAGCAGTGTATAAACGCCGCACAGCATTTGGCTCTTGATTTTATGAGCTCTGCATTGATATGTTCAATGACTTCTCATATGTGTTCACTGCAGCGAAATTAATTGTACATCAAGTTGTGTATGTAAAGCAATTTGGGTTTTTATCCGAATATTGGAAATTTTCAATTTGGTTTCGCATATTGAAAATAATAAGCATGAAAGTTAATTACAGGATTCGAAATTGCTTCGAAAGCTCTGATCTGCGGACGAACTTTTCAGGTGGAAATAATAAATAGTTGCAATTACATTGAATTCCCGCAATTTATAGTATGATGAAGTTTTATTTATGGGTTATGATTCAAATGTAGTGAACCGTGTACTTTTCTGTGGAGAATTTTGGTACAGAAGTGAATTTTGGGAAAGTCAAAGGGCAGATATTATGGTCTGAAGTGATGTATAGCTTTCTTTTCAGAATCTTTTGCAAAAAACTTATGCATTTTCTAAGTTATTTTGCTTAGAAAAATCAATTTTATTTCTTTTCTTTTTCAAGTGATTGGTTTAAGACAAATTTTGGCGATCAAAAAAAACTTCAAAATCATCAAATTCGGTGAAAAAGCAAAGGTAAATTCCAAGGCATTTAGAAGTGTTTGCTGAAGTGTTGAAGATTCTGCACAGAAAATGTCAAAGTGTCAAAAAGGGTGGTATACATATTTAAGGCATATTATCTCTCCCTTGGAGAAAGTCAATATAATTGCATGATCAAGTTTTGGTATTCTAGAAATTAGCTCTTTCTTATCACTTGCAAAGCCTGTGATTTTTCTCTGTGCACCGCCCGATCGGTTGTTCGAAAGCGGAGGAGCATTTCCTTCCAGCAAGGTGGCATAATTGATGGGATGATGGTAGATTAAGTGGAAATGGCTTGACCTAGAGCAAGAGCCGTGCAACAATTGCTTGGGGTGAAGCGTTGTCAGCGCAAAAAGTGCTCGAGAGAGGCAGACGTTTGGCAATTTGTGGAATTTGAACTTGCAACAACAAAGAAAAGTTTGTTGCATAAACAGAATGATTAGCGCAAACGTATCTTATCTGGGCGGTTTATTTTTGTGTGCGCCCGTCTGCAGTTGATTGACTCAAGTCAAGGCCGTGAGACCAATACTAATCTCCAATTCTCTTTCCTTCTCTCTCTCTCTCTCTTTCAGCTCCCAACAACTTCAAGGGACTGCTGATTCGATCCGAAGTGCTGTACTGTCTCAATCAATTCCAAAGTTCCTTGGCCGATGCAGACAATGCGCTGAGAAGCCGACCAACATCATACAAGGTCAGTGTGCGGAGAAAGACTGCCAGCGAATTGACACTGAGACGTGCTAACGAGACATTTCACAAATTGAGAAGACCCTCTAGTGCTAGAGCGACGCACTCTAGCCTAGAGTCAAGGGTTTTCATCAATGGAAAATCTCTCTGTGTGAGAATTTTGCGCGATGTCTCAAGATCGACCAGACGATATTTGTCAAAACAAATGACCAGAAATAATTCCCCAACTCACCATATATTTTTTCACCGAACGAACCGCAACCATTCATCACACTAAAAATTGCTCAATGACACACTCTCATTCCCGCGCGTCTGCTCTTAATGCTGTGCGATGAGATATGCAAAAGAAAATGCGCGACTTATTTGGGCGAAATGCCTGGAAAATTTAATCAGTGTGGCGACAAAGGGAAAATTGCTACTCAATGGATTAATTGCGTGACTGTGAGAGTTGAGGAATTAGCATGATTTTTCCCTAATAACCACTTTTTGCCACCCCCACGGGACGAATTTCTATGTTTTCTACTGTTTGGATAAGCTTTGAAACAGCTCCACAACTATCCATGTGCGTGATTCACGACATGAGAGCAACACAATAGAGATGACCTCTATTGATTGCCCAGAAAGTTGTCATATTTTTATAATTGCGCCCCTGGTCGCTTGGAAAATTGCCATTTTGGGGCGAGGAAGAGAGAGAGAGAGAGTCAATTTTCACCAAATCAACACACTTTTATTGAGGCTCTCCGGCGACTCATCCTCAACATTGTATGTGCCTTTGGGCAATTTAAGCAAATAGGAAATGGCATCGAGATTGGGGTCATGAGTGCAATTTTAATAATTGAGCGACAAACGTCAGCTTGTTGCTGTGAAAATTGGAGAGCAATTGAAATGGCCAGAATTTAATAATGCCAACTCGACGGCCAAGAAGCTCTCAGGTTAATTACACCTGCAGAAGGTTGGCACTGTTAATTAAATTGTTGAGCTTTTTTTATTATATTTGTGCGCCTGACGCCGGGGAATTTCGTGCGAGAATCCTACAATTGTCATGTTCTTTCCTTACCTTCTGCATAATCCCTGAATATCTTGGAACCTCCTTTTCACCCGTGACTTCAAAAAGTATTCAAGCTTTTATCGCATATTACAACGCCTCTTGCTTGAGAAACATTATTAAAACGAGAGAGACACACACACAGTGTAGAGAAGTGGGTCAATCTCTTGAAAATGTGCCTCCAACGCCAATATTTACGGTGAGATTTACATTTCCGCAAACTCCTCTTTATGACTTTGGCCATGACGTGCAAGTAATGCGGAAAAGTCTCTTACAATGTAGCATTTTGTGCCATGTCCTGTGTGAGAGGCTCTTGAGAATTAATAAGCTCGTCTCTTGCAGGCACACTTCCGGAAAGCCGCCGCCCTGGTCAGCCTAGGACGCACCGAGGAGGCCTTGGTGGCTCACTGCGTGGCCGTCAGCCTGGACAAGTCAGCTCTTAGTGCTCCCACCGCCCTCAAGCATGACATCACTCGAGTAAGTTTCCCTCCCCGAGGAGTCACTGGGATTAATGGAAAAGTCGTCCAACTAGAGCGTCTGGGAGTGACTTTGAGCGAAATAATTCATTGGGATGAATAGCAAATTGAGCGAGAGAGAAACAGAGTACATGTATTCAATGATTTTCTAATGAATCTCTCAGTTTGAGAGCTTTTTCCTGCAATGTATACTTGTCATAGTACATGTACATAAAGTTTAAAGATGAAACTATTTTGAGGTGAATCTGCAGAAAAGCTCACGAGATGAAATGCTATATTTTGCCACAGAAAGTGTTTGAAAAACATAAACTTTGTCGGCGTGTGTGTGTGTGTATAGAAAAGTTTCTTGATGGTGGGGAAAAAGAGCGCTAGAAGAAAGTTTCGCGACAGGAGATAATTTGTCAAATAGACTCCAATTGAATTTCATGCTTCAATCTGTTGTCTGTCTCCTCTGCAGCTTCTCCATCGACTCTTTGTGCCACAATATCGTGTACATCAGACCACCACGATGACCACACCGTTCAGGAAGCGCCGGAAAGTTTTCACCGTGCGCTCCATGAGCGACTGCGAGGACGAGAGCTCGAGTTGTGGCGAGGAGGAGAACTTCCTGCACGTGCCCAAAAGGAGACGATGCGGTGGACGTCATGGGCATGGAAGTGATGTCATTCCGCCGCCCAATGCGCGGCTGAGAAGTCTGCTTGAGCGCATTCATCAGGAGGTGCACAAGATCAGACGTAAGTTGGCCACAATGTCGCGCATATGGCACACAGAACTCACTCTCTCACTTCCTCAACAGGTGCAGATTCCCGCTTGAGCCCACCTCAGGTGAACCCGTCCCTGATTGAGGCGTCGGATTTTGATTGCGTGCTGTGCTGTCGCACTCTGTGGAAGCCCGTGGTGACACCCTGTGGACACACGTACTGCTCGGTTAGTTATGTTATCCGGATGTATAAATTACCCTGTGCAACAGCAGGAAATAGGGAAATCAAGGGGTGAATACCGCCGGCACGATAGTAGTACTTGAAAAGACTAAGAATTGACCGGCAAATTGAAGAAAAGCGACTAAAAAGTCAACCATAAATCCACAAAAGTATATAAATGGAAAATGGAATTGTGTTGCGGTATTAATCCAATGGGAGGCTATAAATTGCACCACCCACGAGGGGCAGGATATTGAATTGACTAACTCTAGGGAGATTTATTGAAGTGGAATAAATTTGCAGGATCTTTTCCTTCAATATTTGGTGTGTGTGTGAGAGCGGGGGAAAAATGTGGGGCGAAGAGTTTATTTAATTAATTCGCAATTTGGAGCCTTCATCCGGTGACAAATTACTCGAGGAAATACGCCCTAATTAATCCATTGTCAGAAGGAACATGGTGAGGAATTGAAATTGCCTTCATTATCCACTCTCTTTCTGCAGATCTGCCTCGACCGATGCATGGACTACAAGCAGCAGTGTCCGCTCTGTATGTTCCACATTGAGGACACAATGAGCCTGGCGAGGCATGGAGCGACGTACTTTCTGGAAGTCGCCATGCAGAGGTTCATCCCAGTGGCGTACACGAAGCGGAAGCGCCAAGAACTGGAGCCCTCTGTGCCGATATTTATCTGCACCACGGCCTTTCCCAGCGTTCCCTGTCCGCTGCTCGTGTCAGAGCCACGCTATCGCCTGATGGTGAGACAGGCCATCGAGAGCGGCGATAGACACTTTGGCATCGCTCAGCCGAGCGGAAAGCCGCCTCAGAATGGGCGACAGCAGTACTTTGAGTACGGGACCATGCTCGACATACGGGACTGTGTGCTGCTGGGAAACGGCTGTTCGATCCTCAGCACCGTCGGCAGCAGGCGATTCCGCGTGCTGGTGCGCGGCGAGAAGGATGGCTACGACACGGCCAAGGTGGAGTACATCTGCGACAGTCCCATCAGCCGCGAGAGGACAGGTTACGTGGCGAAGCTGCACGAACGCGTGCTAGGCAAGGCGATGGAGTGGTTCGACCGGCTTCCCGAGACCTATAAGACGGAGATCTTGAGAAGCTTCGGCCACATGCCGCAGGTGGAGGAGGAGTGGGTGACAGAGCGCGATGGACCTGCCTGGGCATGGTGGATCATCGCCATTCTGCCGCTCAACCAACAACTGAAGGTGAGACACGAAAGCGTCAGAGCTGTTATGATTCTTATGGTGAAAACACAGCATTTGTAATTTGTAATTTGTCCGCGATCATCTCTTTCTTCCCCTCGCGTTTCGTGTATTTTCCTTCCTACTTTGTCAGCGTCTGACTCTGACATGTCGAGACAGCCACTGTGCGAGTAGGAAGGAAAATACACGAAACGCGAGGGGAAGAAAGAGATGATCGTGGACAAATTACAAATTACAAATGCTGTGTTTTCACCATTATGATCAAATTCAAGATAGATGTAACATATTTGTCCAATTATTCACTATATTTCGCGTAGAAAAAAATCCATTATAATGCAGAGAGTGTTGCGTGAAATTTAAAGTGCACAATAGTTTGATATTGATTATGATATCAAACTTTGTTCATTGTTCTTTTCGAGCTCTTTTTCATGTTGTTGACTGGATTGAGACTGCAACGACTGCAGCATACTAAAACATATGATTTTATGGCTGTGATTTGAAAAGCGAACAACCAACTAATAATGCACTAACTTCTTCTCTTCCTCTTCCAGGGCACAATTTTGATGGAGACCAATTTGGAGAAACGTCTCCTGGCCATAGATAAGACCCTGGCGTGGCAGGACAAGTCGGCCGCCCAGAAGCGCCAGTCAGCCGAGCCCTGCTCCCCTTGTGGTAGCGACGGACTGCCCGACTGTCCCACGGTGGATTGCTGCCAGCGCGGCACGTCGTCGACACATCTGGACGAGCGCTCCGCCCCAAGTCACGCCACCCACTTTCTCATGTAGCTTTAATCGCCCACGCGGTGCGACCGAGGGCTTTAAGATTCCATCTCCTCTCCTCCCACAATCCCTGGGGCGAGAGAAAAAAACATGTGTGCCACTCCAAGAATGTATTTAAGAGGATCAAAGAAGCGGAAATGCAATGCGGGACGGGCGCTGTGAATTGACAATCTTCAAAACGGAACCATTCTCATTTTTTACTTCACATTCTTTCGGAGATCTTTTCCTGGGTCTTTCTCCTTGGCTTTCTCATCCTATTCTTCAGTGTTTAGATTTGTTCTTTCATTTCAAGGCAAAAGTTCTCATGGGCGTTGCATCATTAGGCCTTAGGGTAGTGAAAAAGTGCATGTTGAAAGAAATCTGTGTTATTCACCTGCATAGGGATTAAAACAGTTGCATTAAGGATTATTTAATTATTTATTTGACACAGATGAATTTATATAGAGTTATGGTTTTTTGCATCATATTTCGAGAAAGAAAGAGAGCGAGAGAGAGAGAGAGAAGCACAAAACTCAATTTTTTTTTCAACTCGAAAGTAAATCGACAAGAGAGGTTTTAAGTACATTAGAAACATGAGCCATTTAATATTTAATAAAGAAAGAAACCTATATATACAGATAAATATAAAAAAAAATAGAGTTTAGATAGATGTTTAATGTACTTTTTGAGGCGCTAGGATTAAAGCTACAATATATATATATATATATATATATATATATATATATTATATATATATATATATAATATATATATATATAATATATATATAATGAGAAGGGAAAAAAAAACAGAAGAGAAAATTTACATAGATTTTAGTCCAAGATCTGAGAATGAAGAGTATTTAGACATTTCATTTTTTTCTACCAATTCTTAACCGTAAAAAACTTGACTAAATTATAACTTTCTATATTTCTAGAGGCAGAAATAGTAGAAGAACCAGAACAAGATATGATCATCTGCAGAGTAATAAGAAAAAAAAATCTTTAAGAAAAGTGTTTAGATTCAAAGGAAATAAGTGTTTAAATGTGATATATTAGAAAGTATGTCTAGAGCGTGAAGAAAAAAATATATGGAAAAATTATATTTCTCGATTTTTTATACGACCACAACTAGTTAGTTCTACTATTTAAATTGAACTTATACATATAATAAATTATATTATTTATAAAAGGATTAAAAAATGAAGTCGTGAGAAATCACAACACAGTTTAGCTCCTTGCAGATAAGAAATGATGTAATATAACAATTTTTTTTAATAAATTCCTCCATCAATGTAAACCACCAGAGAGTCTCAATGTGCCATCAAACTGTCCATAAATCTAGCCAAGAAAGCACTCTCAGGTATAATCTTCAATTAATTACCTTCCCAGAGATCATGATAAATCGGCCTGCATTGGAAATCCATTACATTCCAATAAAGCCAAAGGCGTCCGACCACACGTGTGGGTTTGAGCTACAATTCATTGACCTGGAATGGCGATGAGGATGAGAAGACTTCTGGAAGAGTAATGATATTGAAATAAGCTCAAGTGCACTTCATCATTTCGGTGGAATTCCGAAACCACAATTTACATAATTTTACTCTATCAGATTATCCCCCTTCACGGGTTCTCGTGGGGAACTTCAAATGTGGGGTGCTTGCTTGAGGATGGAGAAAATACTTGATAAAAAAGTATGAAAGATATGTTCTCAAAATTTAAAAGTTAAAGAAGCCAATTAAAATGTGAATAAATTGAGGCAAAATGCATTTCTTTTCACGACAAAAAATAACTAAAAACTCAGTTTATTTACTTTCCTGTGGAATTGCTTTTCTCCAACATGGCAAAAGTGAAATAAAGCTCAGGAAAAGTGTACAAAAACAATCTGATAAAGGGTGTGAAGCATATGCTTCATACAGTTTCACTCTAATCTCTTTATCTCTGCCTCAGTTTTCCCAACTTTCGCTGAAGTGTCTAATTCTCAAACCATTGAAATTGTCACCAAAATGACCTCAATTTAATTTGAAGACTCTCAAACTTCCTCTTCGTTGACCAAAAAGCACCTCATCGGGCAATTAGACTTGGAAATTCCTCTGCAACTGCAAACAGAGCGAATAAATTTGCCTCCAATGCAACTCAAATTGGCTCTTGTATTTGTGTGTGTGTGTGTGTGTGTGCGAATGAGTGAAGGAGAAGTTGCAATGAGTGACGTTGGTGTGCGCATGATCAGAACCGGAGAGTTGGCTGGAAAATTGCGAATTTTCTCTGGGAACAGAAAATATCTCGGCAGTCTCTCCCGCATATTGCAAATAATCGCACTCGCAATCGATTGTCTGGTGTGTCGAGGGCACTTTTCCCACAGAGATTTCACCACAAGTTGCGCCAAATTCTCAGTCTTTTCGGGACATAAAGTGCGCTAAAATGTACTCCAAGTGCCACTATTGAAGGCATAAAGTGAGTGATAGTGCGGGAAGTGTAGTTTGTGTGACGTTGCAAATTAGATGTGAATGAGGAAATAGAGAGGCTTTGGGTGTCAAGGCAAAAGCTTAAAATATCCAGAGAAGTTTTCATGGAAAAGTCATGGAAAAATCCACAGGTTTGCCGCTACTTCCCCTCATCCTGAGCTTTCACTTCCCACTCCTCCGGGCCGCCCTTTCAGCGTCATCATCATAACAATATATTGTGCAATCGTGGAATTATTAAGCAGCAATTATTGATTGATGCGATCTGGGCTGTGTGTTGGTTTTATCTCGGCGCTTGAATGTGAGAACAAATAGACGACACACTGAAGAGTCATTCTCGCGTTACAAACTCCCCTTGCCCCGCGACTGCAGATTCTGTTGGATGCGTGTGTGTCAGTTGGCAGAGCTTTTTAGATGCACTTTTGCGATTTGTGGGTATTTGTGGAGGAATAAATATCACAAAATGAGTTATTGAAGACTCTCTCTCGCTCGTGCTTTGGAGACAAAGCCCAGTCATCAAAACAAGTGTATCTATAGTGAAAGCCTCCACCCACTCCCTCTCTGTGAAGGTATTTTTATCTCACTGCAGCGCAGAGGGTGGAAGATGTTCACCCACAGACAATCAGTGATTTCAATTCAAACAGTAATTGCCTCCGTTTTCTGCAAACACAAAAAGCACCCCTCCGAAACACCCCGTCGCTCTCGAATGTTTCACCTGCCACGCGCAGTCACCCTGCTTCCGCCCACATTCACCTGTAGAGAGTTCCCGGCTTTCGCGCCTCATCCCCAGATGGCTTTCGCTCACAAGGGTTTCCTGCACTTCTCTTGTATAGCGCGCGTAAACTTTTCCATTCTAGCATGTTGAGTGCCGTTGAGCGGCTTCATTGTGCCTAAGGAGGGTTTATCAGCTTCAATCATTCCGGCGAAGGACTTTGACGACACCATGGATGACGACACAGAGGACAAGGATGACTCCAAGAGGAAATCGAGGAATTTGAGTGAGAAAAAGCGACGCGATCAGTTCAATTTGCTGGTCAATGAACTGAGTTCAATGGTGTCGGCGAACAACAGGAAGATGGACAAGTCCACGGTGCTCAAGTCCACCATCGCCTTCCTAAAGAATCACAACGAGATTGCCCTGAGATCCCGCACACATGAGATTCAGGAGGATTGGAAGCCGTCATTTCTCTCAAACGAAGAGTTCACACACCTGATACTTGAGGCGTTGGATGGTTTCATCATGGTCTTCTCCTCCACCGGGAGAATTTTCTATGCTTCCGAAAGTATTACCTCACTTCTTGGACACTTGCCGGTGAGTAGAAAGTCTCTGACAGAGAAGCTCCCATTGCTAACACTTGTCATACTTTCAGAGCGATCTTCTTAACATGACGATCTACGACTTGGCCTATGAAGAAGATCACTCAGAACTCTACAATGTCCTTCTGAATCCAGCGGCAATCACGGATCCTCTGCAGAACAACCTAACAAGAGGTGGGGAATAAAATCACCTTTGCAACTGTGTTTATTTCTAAGCTCTCTCTCTCTCTCTCTCTCGTTTCCTCTGCAGAGAATCAAATCCTCTTCTCGTGCCATTTAAAGAGAGGCGCAGGCGGAAATGATTTCCGCGATGGGATGACCTACGAACTAGTGCAATTTGTTGGATACTTCAGTAAGTATGAATTGTGGATATTGGCTTTTATTTTAGAATCAGTTCAAAGCAATTATTACATAAGCGCGCATGAATCGGTTGAAATGCAAGCACTTTACGTAATTCACCCACAATCTCACCAGTATATTTTCCCAAACACACAGAGAAAGGCGAGAGAGGCTTATAATTGTGTACTTCTAGGAACTGATGTGGACATTGAGAATATGCTCCCAAACACGCGGAACTGTATTTATCCATCCGATGCGGACACAAGGCTGATCTTTGTGGGCACAGGTCGACTTCAGACGCCACAGCTCATCCGAGAAATGTCGATAGTCGACTCCACAAAAAGTGAATTCACATCCCGCCACAGTCTCGAGTGGAAGTTCCTCTTCCTGGACCACAGAGCGCCACCGATCATTGGGTATCTGCCCTTCGAGGTCCTGGGCACTTCCGGCTATGATTACTATCACTTTGACGACCTCGAGAAAGTCATTACTTGCCACGAAGCTCGTGAGTCACTCGTCCTATTTATAAAGATGTTACATAAGAGTGATTATGGCTGTGGATGATGTAAGATTTGCGGTATTTTCTCCCAATGCAGTGATGCAGAAAGGCGAAGGAACATCCTGCTACTATCGCTTCCTCACGAAAGGCCAGCAGTGGATTTGGCTACAGACGCGATTCTACATTACTTACCATCAGTGGAATTCGAAGCCTGAATTTGTGGTTTGCACGCACCGGGTTGTGAGCTATGCCGACGTGATGAAGCAGTCCAGGAACGGTGGGATGACTGACACCGTGGAGAAGGAACTGGACGAAACGGATGCAGCGACTGATAGGCAAATGCCAACAACGGCAAACTCCCCGTGGAGCTCCAAGAGTTCTCGAATGTCTCGATTTGCTGTGACGCCGGGATCGCCGAGTGTGAAGAGCAGACAGAGATATCACACTTACCATGGAACAGGCTCTGACTCATCCGTCTCAGCCGAATCTCACACGAGCAGGCAGTCCCTGATCACTCAGTACAGTTCTGTAAGATCACCAGCATTCAGAGAGATGTTGTGATAGTTCAATTGTGTCTCTGTTGTCCACTTTATAGCGCTCCAGGATGAGACAGAAAGTGAATCATCAAAACCCACCGCAACAGATGCATCAAGTTCCGGCAGCAACGAGTCAGAGACAATGTCAAGCGCCTCAAATTATGGGACCCACTTTTCTAGAGCCTCCTCAGTATCTCACGGCGATTCCTGTTCAGCCTGTCTTGGCACCGGCGCCTTTTACAGCTGCAGCGACAGTTATTTCACCACTGCAGGTAAACTTTACCGTTTTGCTTCACACCTAAGATACTCTACAATCACTTAATTTCCAGCCCACTGAACTCATTCACAGTGGTGTCGTAATGACTCCGGCACAGAGTCAGATCCAGGATCAATTGCAGAGGAAACACGAGGAGTTGCAGCATCTCATAGTGCAGCAGCAAGAGGAGCTGCGGAGGGTTTCTGAGCAGCTTCTGATGGCTCGATACGGTCTTTTGCCGGTGAACGTGTCTCTCCCGCCCACCAGTCAGGCCACCACCACAACTCGCCAATCCATCAACAGCACAGTAACTCATTTGTCACAGAATCCCCTCATGATAGAGGGAGATCCGGAAGGATCTGGAATGGGAGTTCAGACGTCAGGCGAGATGGTTTCCTACATGCAACTAAATCCAGTTCCCACATCCAATTTGCAACATCAGAACCCGAATCAAAGAGCGGCCGAGATGGATGTTCTGCCCTATCAATTGGGACATCAAGATCAGGGCCAGATGATGTTCGATCCTACAAACCTACGATCTCCGTCATCTGAGCCGCACAGTCAGTGAGGAGAGGATGCAGAAAAAAGATGGAAAAATTGAATTGCTGTGACATGGCAGAGGAAAATACGCCAAAAGGTTATCGCATTGGAGTGCGGCAAGTGTGCGACAAACACTCTAAATTAATAGATTCTGTGTATCTCTTCCCAAATACTACACTCCACATCATATTTACAGTGACGCGCGATGTTTTCTACAATACATACAACTCTCTTTTGACGAACAGGGTATACAACGCTGTGAGAAATACATTTTAAGTGTGACAATATGTCTTTTATTTCCCGCGAAATCTCATTGGGGTTGGGGACAAATCAATTAAAAGGTCACATGAGACTTTAAACCGCGATATTGCGCATCATTTGATATTTTAAAAAAATACGCACCATTTCTGGAGCACACAAAAGCAGTGAGTTTTGGACTCTAGCAACACATAAGACAGCTATAAAACGCATATGAAATAATGTTCACATCCCAGACTTATGCCTGTAACTTCCTAAAAGCATTCTGCAAGACGCTAAACTCCAGGTTGATATTGTTCATCAGGTTGGTGATCTGAGGCTTAGAGTCCAGAATATCCACACTCTGAGTATATGCGTTGTAGCGCACGCCGAAGGGCCTGGGAATGGTGTTAGCGTACTTAATCATTTTCTCTTTGGCATCCTCGAAGCTGTCGGCGACGTAGTACACAGGCTGATATTCTGTGATTGGGTACTTCTGCAGGCCAGTCTTCTCTGGATCAAATTCACGCACCTCAGGCTTGTCACTGAGACAGTACTGAAGTTCACCGAAGGACGAGAGCAATCCAGCCCCAAAGGCCTTAAGTTCGCCACCTTGTCGACACAAGCCAAACTCAACGGTGAACCAGAAGCACTGCAAGAATTGAGAGTGTGATTTTAGGTCTAGAGGGATTGTCCGACTTTAGCGCACCGTGGCGAGTTTCTCAATGTAGTCATCAGGAGCTCCAAGAGATGCGAGCCCGATCTCTTGGGAGAACTGAGCAAACTCCGGGTCGGAGAAGAGCGGCGCGTGGCCGAGAAGCTCGTGGCAGACATCAGGCTCAGGGGTGTACAGAGGCTTGCTGGGATGTCTGATGTACTGTGTCGAATGGAAAACACGGAAAGCCAATCCGGCCAAGAAGTCTCGCGAAGAGAGTAGTCCAGCGACAGGACGGAGTGTGAATCCGGTGCAATCCTTCAGGAAATTGGACACATCCTCAAGCTGAGGGATATTATCTTCGCGATAACCTGGAAAAAGACACAATCTTGGGTCTCTGGGCATTTGTCTAAGGACAAAAACTCACCACAATTGTCGATCAAGAGTGGGAAGATGTGATTGAATTGCTTGCAAGCGTGCGTTGGATAGAGTGTCGTGAGATTGTTGAAGATAACTCGCCACGTCTCGGTCTCTTCCTTAGTGTAATCAACCCTTGGCAAAGGTTGTCCATGTCGATAATTGTACGCCAGGTCGGCGAAATACTTGCGCCGATCGCGATAGACGGGATCAGTGAATCCGGGATGATCAGAATCAAGTTCGGACCCTGAAAATCAACGGTGAAACTAACGAATTGGGCACATTTAGACCTTCTCTAGCTCACCGTAGGAGAGAATCTGGTTGGCAAATCGATCGAGATCTCTGATGCGCCGCGGGAACCACGGCACAGCGGCCGTGTTATCCTTGTAGTCACGTGAAATGATGCTGAGATACGAGCACTGTCCACGCAACTGCTCAATAGCAGTGCCGAGGGATCCCGATCGGCTGTCGCACTCCACAAAGAACTCATATCCTGGGCCACGCGTTGATGAGCGAGACTCGATGTGCACAAGATTCACATCATTGTCATTGAAGATCTTGAGTGTCTTGGCCAGAATACCCGCTCCGTCGATGCTGGGCGAGAAGATGAGGCAGGTGTTCTTGGCCTCGCGAGACTCATTTTCCTCAATCACGTATGAGCCACCCTCCTTTCGCTGGGGCTGCAGACAAAGAGAGAAGAGAGAGAGAGAGAAAAGTCCATGAGAAATACAACTCGGAAGTTTCATCAGAATCCAGTTTCATCCCAACAACTCGAGGGCTCGTGGATTGGAGGCCAAGTCGGGTCAATTATGCACTTTATTGAATGGTGATTGATGTTTTCAAAGTCCAAGTGTATAAGAAAAGCACACAAAGAAGCCTATTTGTTGGCCCTCAACTCATCATACAAATCCAAAAATCACTCACAGTATCCACGGAATTCTGACGATACATTTTACTCAATTTACTCAAAGTCACTCTACAAATCTCTCCTTTTCGGGGCAACACTTCGTGATCACACTGACGGACTTTGCAATGCAGTTTGAGAGCAAGTTGTCGACTGAAGCTGTTCTGGGTTGGAAAGCAAGTTTTTAACATCAAACACTCCTCCCAAATCACGTTACTTGTCGCAATTGACGCTCACATCGACGTTGGAATTGATAGCGAAGCAATTATCACTGGGCAGAGTGTGTCTTTTTTGCTGTCATACTTAAACTGTTAATTCCATTCAAGTGATGCTGCTTTGCACCCTTTTTTGCGCCCAACTATGCGCCTCATTTCTATGGCAGGAAGGCCACTTTTTGGGGGTCATTTTCCCACGAATCTCTCTCGTGAAAAGCCTTTTTAAGGGACTTGAGCTTATCTTCAAAAAGTGGGCTTGCTCCGACACCAATTGACCTTGCCTCTGCTGGGGTGAAAGGCTTTTTTTTACTGATGGTCACAATAGCGAAAACACTCTCTGGAGAATCAAAACATATTTTTGAGATTTGCAAAATCATCTCAAGGAAGATAACTTGCGTAGTACTTATTTTTCTGTGCGAAAACTCATTCTGGATTTAATAGATTGTAAAATGTGATTCTAAGAAAATGTTTACCTTTGATTTTCCGGATATTCTCAACTTGTTTTTGTTCCCCACTTTCTTTCTGTTGCCTTTGAAATGGGCATGCAGCATAAGCTTCATGGATTGGATTTTCCTCTAAGATGTCTCTGTTTTGGTCTGATGGGTGGGAGTTTTGGGAAAATCGATGAGTTTTCCCCTGTGTGAATTGATGTTGTGGAAAATCAAACTCTTCACAGTTTTCCACTGACTTTCTCGCCGTGAAGACGTACTTCCGCCACTGTTTGAGTGCTTCTGGCGCGCGAAGGAGTCAATCTCGCGCTTTTCCGACCCGGAAATCCGTGCCGTTGACGGTGTGGCAGCTGTGAGATGGGAAAATTGAAAAGTGCGGTTTCCTTTTGAGAACCCTTTTAAAACCCCACCGCCAGGGCTCCGCAGACGAGCCGGAGAGGCTGATAGACAGCCAGAGCAACAAGTTTGCCGAGAGGCCGTACAACCGAGAGGAAAATAAGAAAATTACTCTAATTGCCTCTCGAGGGAAATTCCGTGCGTGATTTGCGCCGCACCCTGTGGCTGCCCTCGCGAAGCCAATATGAATGGGATTACGCTGATTGTTGCCATCAATTTGCTCCTCCTCCCGCCTTCCGGTGAGTAAATTTTTCAATTGTTTCCCCAATGAGAGGGATTAGTGATGAAAAATGTGACATGTACACCGTCCGCACCGTATTTCGAGACAAAACCATTGCTTCCAATTAAAAGTTTACACCATCCAGGGACGAAATATGCAACAAGAAATTATCATTTTTCATACTTTCGCCACCCATACATAAAGTTTGGGGCATAAACTTTCACGATTATGCTGTTCTGGTGGACGAGACATGATAAAAAAAAACGAAAGAAACTGAATTAATTTGGAAAGTGCATCGATGAATTTCAATGAGTGAACAGACTACATTATATGCACAAAACTGATTTTGACTGACAAGTTAGCAGAAAGTTTTCTGAAAATTTACATGAAAGCTTTCGGTGGAAAAACACACATCATCCGGCAAACTTTCTGTGGTTTGCTGTACAAAAACCACAGGAAATGCATCAATGATGAGGTGTAGTGACAAAGTCAGAAGGCCACCCGATAAAACCTGGCTTGAGCCAGTTCATGGGACTGGCGTGGAATTGAATTCAAATAGAACGTTGTTATTCTCAGTGTGTGCTTTGCAAAATCTTTATTCTAACATAATTCCTTGTTTCCAAAGAAGCTCCTCAGCTTTGTCACTAAAGCGGATTATCGACACAATAATTCCCAACAAACTCTAATCCGATAAAATCGATTTAATGGACACAGAATTTCCATGCAGCTTCAACGGTTTTCCATCAATTGAAAGTGATCTGTATAAGAAAACATTTTGAATTTGCCCAGCAATTTTCTCTACATTGAACATTGATTAGTTAAACCCCTCACTGGAAAATAATAACAAGAAAATATAATGTGCTTTAAGCAGATAATTCTACAATAATACTTCTAACTGTCTGGCAAACGTCCAGGAATTTTCATCTCAACTCACAAGTCTTAATGAGATTGAATATGACGCGCACAATGATATGACGAAATTTGAATAATTTTGCATACTTTGGGAAAATGCGGACGGAGAAAAAATTGTAATTAATCCCCGGGAATAATTTTTCCTTCGCACTTCAGGCTTTGGGGGATGGCGAAAGTGGGTGTGCTGGAAATTAGCTTAATCTGGGCTCCACGAAATTCGCCCCCAGAGACTAATTCAACCTCCGAGAGATAGTTTCACTGTCAATCCCCAGCTTGTGGTCGTTAATGGGTGAGACGACGTTGGCTTCCGAGGCTCTCAAGACACCTGCGATTCCGAGGGCGGGGAAGTTAATGTGATTTATGATTATTTCCCCCTGAGAGGGTCATACAAAGTGTGGATGAGTCAGCGATGGAGGCTCGAAGAATCAACATTTCGCCCAAAACTGTTTGAATATCTTTGTTATATGGCCTCGTTTTGCTCTGTCTTTTATTTCTGCCCTTTTTCCTTCACCCACAACAACATCAGACGGTGGCGAAGGGAAGTGTCTCGGCTGACTGCTTCACGAGAATAAAAAGATGCGCGCGTGAGAAAGGGAAATGATGGTCTGTGTATGGAAAGAAAAGTTTCTCGATTTTATATATAGTGGTTTTGGTCTACCGACAAAGGCGATAGAGAGGAAAAATATTCAGCATTTTTCCTCTCCACTTGACTTTTCTACGCTTTTTCTCCATAACATGTGCCCTCCTGCTGGTCCCGAAGAAACCACAGAATCCTGATAAACGATTTTGTCCCTTTTAGCAAGTTTTTGTGTGAAAGCCTTCACCCCATAAACGAATAATCCGGAGAACCTTGCTGACCCCGCATTTACATACGCATCCACCAGTGGAATCCTCTCTGGCATTCCATCTTCCCATCTCTCTCCGCTGGCGTATTTCACCTTGTTTTTGCCGAATGACTCTCACCCCCAATCATAAACAAGGACCCAGGGACTGAGACGTCCCCTGACGACCAAATCCCCATGATTTTGCGGCCGAAGAAGTGCGGGCTTTCAACGTAACGAACCGGAAGTATCGCATTGTGGGCCACACGAGTAATTTACCATGATGGATGGACTGGAGTTTTGGCAATATCTCCCCATTATATTCCTCACCCATTGCACACTATTACTATTTCTTGTAATTCGGTGTTTGGCCAGGGAGATTGAGGACTTTTTCACGTAGGCAACTTTTTACGGCTGAGCTTTGGCACATCGGGAGAGTGCGAGAGAGATCTATTGAGGCCGAAATTAAGATTATCTTCCGGAGATAAGGAGTGCTTTATGTCTATTTTTACAGCCCTAAGTGAGCTTTCGCTTTCTCTGCACGCCGATTTCATCGGCTAATGGATCGTTTTAAAGGAAGTAAAATTGTTTGAATACAGATAGACTTTTTATTTTTAATTCTCTGCTTAGATTTGCCGGTTTTCAAAACTTTCACGCGCCTCGTGTGAAACATTCAATTCCTAAAATGGATACAAAGAATGGATATGAATGGACAGAAAAAAGCATTCAACTTATGGTCATAATTTGTAGAGAATTCACCGACATGGAGTAGAGCTTTCCGGGAGTTGGACAAAAACGCATTACACGGAAATATTCTCTCATTGAGTGCTATAAATGTTTTGGCACTCTTCCTGGAAATTTATGGTATTTCTGAAAGCTCGCTAAGCGGACAAAGGTATGGAGTGTCGGTGAGGCAAAACCACAAGGTGGAACTTTTGCCCATTCACAATTTTGCCTTCATCCCAAAACTCACTCTCGGTGCTCATATGAAAAGCCAAAATTTCTGATACACGTTCTGCAACTCGAGAACTGCATAAAGTTGTCGAGAGAGAAATATTTTAATGTAATGTAACGTGATACAAAGGCTGGAATGTAAGTTAATTGAGATTGTGAAGTCTCTCGAATTCTTGGGTGATTTTTCACCACTCGCTCACAGCAAAACACCCCCTAATTGACTCCTAACGTGCGGATTTTGCTGAGGAAATAAAATCCCAAAGCATTGGGTGAACAGAGTCTGGCAAATCGCGTAAATAAATCACACGGGGCGAAATCTAGCGCAGAATAAGCTTTTATGTGCAATTTGTGCCATAACTTGCGTCATTTGATTATCATATTTTAAACTTGGGTGATTTATTTCGCCATTCCGCCGGAGGAAAGGTGTAATTGATCCCGATGAATTTATTGATTGCAATTTTGCCAGCTTATGCGGAGCTTTCGCGATTGCCTGAAACACTCTATTATGGAGAGTTAAAATCTATTTGTGCATTAACGCTTTTTTTGTGAAAGATTTTCAGTTTCAAAAGCATCAGCTATTCATGAATTGATTAAAATCAATTAATCCACTTTGACATCGCAATTGGGAGTTAAATTAATAATAGTGAAAATATGTCAATTTATTTAAAAGGTACTTATTTTATATAGATGACTTCAAATTGAATATTGAAATATTTTCAATTATAAAATCCGCATCTAAAATTCATTGATGATTTTTAGGTGAAAATCCTGCAGCCAATCCTGAATGCGATCAAAAATGTGTGGATGAGAGCTGAAAAGTTGAACTTATCACTGTTCCTTTTCCTTCTGTAAACGAAATTCCGTCTTCAAAGAGAGTGAGTGTCTGTGCCAAATTGCATTGAAGTGTTAACTCTCAATTTCTTCAATTTTGAGCTTCTCCGGCTGTAAAGGCATCCCTTTCTCGACTGTCCGAAGGCACCTCAGGCCGGCAAATCGATTTATTCGACCAAATATCCGGGCCAATATGGAAGATTTTGCTCTTCCCCATCGCAAATTGGCCGTTTTTCTCTCATTCCTGCAATAAGCCTGGAAATTGTTTCGATAGCAACTCAATTGGAATTTGAAAGTGGCCTCTGGCTCGCATTTATGCAGCCGGGGAAGAAAAAAGGGGTGGAAAAGTGGGGCTTGGCGGCCTGCCGAGAGCGGAAAATGCTAAATTGTGAAATTTGTGTGTAATATTTGCAATTCTTCTCGCACAATTTCCCTGCTCCAGCAAGAGAGGGTGGTGGCGGAGCGCACCCTTCCCGGAAAAAAAGGGGTGGAGTGGCACTTCTCCATCATGTCGGCGCGCTTTAGAGAACACCATCATCGCTGGGTGAATGCGAAACAAATGAGACAATGAGGAGAGCTCGGAGGAAAATAGTTTATCAAATTGTCCTCCCATTATCATTGTGCCATCATCCCACTTTCTTCCCTCAACTACATGGCATTTTTGATGTGTCTTCACAAAACGAGGAAACTTGCAATCATCTTGTTGTTTCATGAGCTTTTCATTATTATTCGGGCGCTTCCTGTTTCTCATAAAATGTGTATGTTCTTTCCGTCCCTCCATTCTTTACCCATTTGCTCTCATACTCACACCAGCACAGGCAACAGAAGTATTCCATTATACTGAGCACTTGTCAACTTTATCTCTCGCCCCAGAAATGAAGTAAGAGAGCGGAGAGCGCCTCGAAGGAAGAATGAAATATTGGAATTCAGGATGGAATCATCAATCAACTCGTGAATTGTATGAAAACTTAAAGTTTCTCTTGCTTGGTGATTTTTCTTATCGTGTAAATTTCACCCTCGAAAGCTCACCACGTTCGGTGGGACTCAGAATTCGGAGGGGCCTCATAAAAAAAAACAGAAAACACGTGACAGAATTCTCGCGCGCGCAGAATAATTTACAAAACAGGCAACTTTATTAGTTTTTCATCACTTCAACTGGGCCCACACCTCTTCGGCATTCCACTCAAGACTGAACTCCTTCCGTAGATGGGAAATTAATGTAGTTACACGCAGAGAAAGCTCTACGCCGAGAGAGAGAGCCGAATTTTCCAAGTGTTGAGAAGATGAAAAATAAAAAAGAAAAAAATCAATCCAAGCGAAAAAGGACAACTTTTGCAATCTTTCTCGACACTGAATAATTGAGAATCGTTCTGTGATGAATTTTTCATGACGATTGCAATTTTTTTTCTCTCTCTCTTTCGAATGGCAAGAAAATTTTCCGCCATTGTATAGAAAAGTAATGAAAAAGTATAAGCTCTTTTTCTTTTCTCGTCATGGAAAA